CTTTATTTTTGTAGCGAGAAACATATTGTAAAATTTATAAACTTTTTCAAAAATATATATAATACTTGATAATATATTAGCATAAAATTATTCTATTTTACTGAATAATTAAATTCATTGAATAAAATGTCATATAATAATTTTTAAAAATTTCAAATTAAACATTTTCTAGTTATCTGTTTTAAGAAACAATTTTTTAGAGTGACAAATCGAAAGTATTTTCTACAATCTTAAAGCATACTCTCAAAATAGAAAATTAATTAAAACCTGCAAACTATAAATTAAAACGTAAATCGATCAAAACATAATATTTTAGGAGTTTTCATACGTCCTACAAGGAGAGTAACAACTCTTATCATGGATTTAGCCCCCGTTTGGTGCACTTTGTTGGAAAAAGAATGCATTTTTAGTGTTGATGTGACGGAGAATGTGAGGTTAAAAAAAAAAGAAAATTATTGATGTGATTGAAAATATTATTTTATTGAAAAATGTGTGATTAAAAATGATTAGAAGAATGAGAATGAAAAAAATAATGTGGCTCAAACAGGACCTTAATTTAATCCTTAGTACAATTAACCAATGTTTGACAATCATTATTTGAAAACTCTTTTTTCTATATACTCATTTTTAACCACATATTCACACGATAAAATATAATGCATGTAAATTAAAAAAAAAAAAAGGTCTTACTTTTTAACGACACATTTTTTGAAAATCACTATTCAAAATAGGATTATACTATTTGTACATACAAAGTGTACACCTTGATTGATACCCTCTCATGTGTCAAAAATCTGGCAACTAATTGAAAAATATGTTGTCAAAATCATGTATCGAAATTTGACAACTCACATGTGTGTAAATAAATGTGTTGACCTTTATTTGCATATAGCACGACCTTCAAAATATTATTTTGGCCAAATAATTACCTGCAAACATGGGCATAATATATAAGAGTCTTGCTACACTCACGACTCGGGTGACAGCTCGGATGACAGCCTTCTCACATTCAAGGGGTGGGGCCTACAATGAAAAATATTCAAACACAAAGCGGGACCCGCCGCTTTGTGAGGGGGCTGTAGCCCGAGCTGTGAAGCTCGGGCTGTACAAACAGCCTTATTCTTATATATTAAACATTAAAACTTTGTAATTCAACACCGTGATAAATCCTAGACCCGTACTTTCACATCGTAACCTCATGTCACGTGCAACTTGCTTGTGGCATGGATGACACTTCGGAGAAAGGAGAATTATGAAATCTCTTTGAATTTTCCTACAAATCAAATTCCACGCTCTTTTTTCTCCAATTAAATTTCGGCAAATTTTCCTGGACCAAATAAAACTAACAAACCTACAAACAAAAAAATCTCTCTTTGCAGCGATTCATCCAACCATCACTGCATCACAGGTTCGTTTTTCAAGGTCCTTTAAAATTCAATCTATCTCTCTCCATTATGTTTATGTAATCGACATAATTTTCCGATAATTGCAGCGAATCCAAGGTTCTTCAATATCCGCAATTTCATCCTACGCCCCAGAGCATGTGATAATCGAAACCTCTAATTTTTGTCCTTTCGGTTTATTTTCTGTTTGTATTGATCCACAAGTTTCAATTTTTAACTGGAACTAAAGAAGGTGGAGGGTTCTTGGGTTTGATTGATTTGAGCTACATGGCAAGTGGGCTGGTGAAAAGGGGTTTGGATTTTACTCTGAAAAAGAAAAAATGGATTATCTTACTTGGATTAATGGGATTTTCGAGTTATGGCGTGTATAAAGTGTATCATATGCCTTCTATAGTGAGAAAAAGGAGTAGAATTATAAAGTTGTTTGGAGCCCTAATTGCAATGGCTGAACTGGTTTCAGATTCCGCAGAGACAGTAAGTGTTGTCTCCAAGGATTTGAAGGAGTTTCTAAAGTCTGATTCGGATGAAATCCCGAATAGTTTGAAGCAATTGTCGAAAATTGCTAGGTCAGAGGAATTATCCGAGTCGATTATTAGGGTTTCTGAAGCAATGACTGCTGGGATTTTTCGGGGTTATGGGGTTGAAAACAGTAGAAACCAGATTCAAGAAGCAGGGAATTCGAGTTTTACGGATGGAGTTATGGATAAGTTAATGTCTGGTGCTGGGACAGGGTTTGTTTCTGCTGTTGTTGGTAGTTTTGCAAGGAATTTGGTTTTGGGGTTTTATGCAAACGGTGAAACTGTTAGAGGGTCGAATGGGAATGGGTATTCGGGCTTGTCATGCATGAAATTAAATTCTTCGACATTGCCAAGATGGGTAGATGTGGTATTGGATGATAAACCGAGAGTGTTAATAGCTGATTGTATTAAGACTTTTGTGAGCACTGCAGTTGCTGTCTATCTTGATAAGACTATGGATGTTAATTTCTACGACGATATGTTCTCTGGATTGACCAACCCTAAACATCAGAGTAAGGTGAAGGACATACTGGGTTCTCTCTGTAATGGGGCAGTCGAAACTCTTGTTAAGACATCCCACCAAGTGTTGACAGCTTCAAAACCGAATTCTGCTTCTGGTTCGAGTTCCCCTTGCTCGATTGTTGATCAGAGTGAAGATTTGAGCTCAGAAAATGACAAGGATCTAGAACAGGCTGTCTCTTCAAGAAAATTGAAAGAGACAATCGGATCTGATGATTTCCAGGGTAATGGATGGGTTAATAGTGTCTCATCAACATTGGCGGTGCCAAGAAATAGGAAATTTGTGCTTGATGTAACAGGCAGGGTGACATTTGAAACGGTTAAATCTGTGATCGAGTTTTTCTCGTGGAAGGTGTCAGACGGCTTGAGACAAAGTCTTAATGTAGCTCATGATGAGGTTGTGGTGCGAGGACTTGAAGTTGTCCAATATGTTGGCGCTAAGTCTTCTGTCATTCTTACCATATGTATTGCATTGTTTTTACATATATTGGGCAGTACTCGAGCTCTGTTGCCTGCATAAATTGATCATGTCTTTTGATTCTGGATGTTCATTTAATGGGCCAATGGAACATTAGTAGCTTGTATCTTCAAGGGAAAATTCATACTTAGATGTAATACCTAAATGCAATTTCTTGCATGTACTTCTATGTTCATTGATAATTAATCTTCTTTGTTGCCTTTTCTGAATTGTATGAATGTAGAGTCTTGTACATTATGTAGCGTCTCATATTTAGCTGAATCAAGATTGTTACTCATTCTTTTTCCAGTGATGTTAAACTTGGAAGGATTCAAATTTCTTTTGTAGAAGTCTTGAAACGGCCGAGAATGATATTGTTTCTCTTATTTACTTGTATTCAATATGAATCTGTCTAGTCTTACTCTTCTTGAGATTTTAGCACGAAGAACTAGCCTGCAGAATTGGACCGTCTATACCCTCAGCACCATAATATCATATGGGGGAAGATTAGAATTAGAGCTGTTGGATATGACTACCATTATTTCTCTTGCTCTTTCAGCCAATTCAGCTCTGCTGTTGAAGAAACTGTAATCCTTTTGTCTTGTTGGATCTTTTCTCCTCACGAGGGAGAAAGAGAAATAGATCCATTGGATTTTTATATCCAGAATGGTTTCCATTTGCAGTCCATGAGTGAAATTATTACCTGACAGAATTCATTTCATCAAGGAATTTTTCCTTCTTTTGTACCTTCCATATTTTAAAATCTCTTCATAGTATTGTTGATTCCCGCCAACCAAACATGCTGAGTATTATTCATGGAAGTGCCAATGAAACTAGATCCCTCTATTGACCAATTTGTTTTTTTCATTCTCCGTAGTGGCGGGTGAAAGAAATGATCTATATATTAATATAAGATTAGATGGTAAAGAATTATTCTTGTTGGGGTGAAAGAGTATTTTTAAATTTAGAGAATAATTTTTTTCATATATATACACTCCAATAATGGTTTCTATTTTAATTCTTCATTTTAATTTTTTCAATAAACATTTATTAATTCTCTTCATCTTTTATTTAACATATTCTTTTATATGTCAATGGTCAATTAATTTAAATATGATTAGAATAATTTAGAGTTAAACTCCTTTTATTTTAAAAAGTTAAAATAGAAAGTCGGTTAAAACTTATTTTCAAACATTATTCTCTAAAATAAGAGTGAGTTTGACTTGAGACATTTGGAGAGTTAAACACACTTATTTTATTGTAATAAAATTGTAAGTTTCATTGTTTCATTACTTCAATTATTTGTATTATATTGAATATTTTAGTTATTGACATCTTCTATATACATATATATTAAAAAGAGAGAAAAACATAATAAATAATTGTTGAAAAAGGTAAATAAAGAGCCAAAAATTGAGTGTATATATATTCTTTTAAAACTTTACATTTAAATATACTTTCTATCATATGACCAAAGCACTATTTAAAATAAAGAGTCTTTTGTAAATGTTAAATGTTTGGGAAGTAGATAATTCATCACTCGTGTTGTGTCATCAACAACTACATCAAATAGCTTCCAAATTTAAATTTATTTTTCTATTGAGAGTAATGTTTATGTTTATTTTTCATATAGTTTCAAAATTCAAAATTTCAAAGTTTATTTGGTAAACTTGCAAGTTAATATGTTTAGCCTCCTGTTTGTCTTTCATGTTTTCAAAATTTTTTAATTCTACATACTTATTTTCAACTACATATTTACACAATAAAATATTCTACATATAAATTCATAATTTTTTCTTATTTTTTAACAACACATTCTCCAAAAAAATCATCAGAAGGATTGGTTTCATGACATACTGTACACACTTGGCACTAGCTAATTTGATTCGGATTTCTTGAGAATCAAAGAGACCTCGTTCTTATTAAATTTTTTAAAAAGAATATATGTTGCACTACAATTTTTTAGTATTAATCTAGGTGACAATGAACTTTAATTAATTTATTGTACAATGAAATTGAGATATATTTTGATTCATATTTAATTTTTTCTCAACTTGAGCTGATTGTCCAACTTTGGATGGACATGAAGTATTACGTTCCCGAGAACAAATGTGTTTTGTGATTTCCTCAAGTTGCCTACGAAAATGCTCGTCAAGTGTTGAGATAACGAGCCACTACCATGAAACCCAGCCCGTTTAGCAAGAGAATAAGGTTAGAATGCTGTTTAGAATCCACAGGTCAGGCCCAAAGAGAGCACAACAAGCCCTGAAAATTGCACCATGCACCAACTAAAGGGAAAAAATCATAAATGAGGTGTATACTTTACACCAATCCAAAAATCAGGTTTATAGTTTGAAAATTCAAGAATGAGATTTTTTATTTATTTTTTATTTATGAAATAATAAATTATTAAATCAATTTATTATTAAATATTTAATTCTAATATAATATAATTAACCAATCCCACATGCACCACCCATACC